TGTGGATACTACTTTCGAGTAATGAATACTGCCATCAGTATGGATACCACTACACAAGGGATGTAGTGATGTGTGATATTTAAATGTGTGTGTTGAGATCGGGTACCGGATGGAGGTCCCGTTGGATTGCCGGATGGAGGCAATGTGTTGTTTGTGACGAGGTTGGGTACCAAACAGAGCATTGAATACTAGATTTGGTCGGAATGTTTCATGAATTGATTTAAAAATTGATGTTTATTGAAACTGATGTTGAGTTATGACTTAAATGTCGAGATTTCCTTTATGATGTTTGATGATAATATGTGAATCAGAATAAAATTGTGTTGTTTGGATTGCGTGAGTTTATCTCCCGATATCTTGGTCAGGAAGGCCGAGCAAGGAACGTTTCACTTTCGGTATATTCTTGTTCCAGATGATTCACACGAGGACGTGTGAAATTGTCAAGATGGCCGTGTTGCAGAATCAACAAAGATGCACAACTATCGAGTATCGTTATTTTAGAACAACGCCATCTGTTATCATTTGTCGGAAACGTCAAGCAGTGTCCTTGGGTGATGGTCGGTCCGCAGGCCCGCGCTTACGGTGGCCGGAGATCGTCTCGCGATCCCCGGAGCCCGGTGCGTCCTGCACGATGGCTGGGTTGCGAGGAGGCGGCGCTTCGCTGCCTCACGCGTCCCGCCTCCTCCTTAGCTAGCATAACTGCTTTGCAAAAGGAGGAGCCGGCATCCCAGTCCCCCCTAATTTAATTGTCCCCCTAATTTAATTGTTTCGTCAGGTGTAGTTTATTATACGGACCTTGTGGAATCTAGAACGAATTTCCGTGCGTTTAGGCGTTTTTGCCATACCTATTATTGGAAGCAAGTATAACAGCTCACACATAGGACCCACTTAGTTTTTAGTCAAATTTCCGTGGTGCTTGGCGACTGGGCTTCACCCAGTTGTACAGTCTCTTCTTTGTGCCTTTAGGCTTAATTCATTCTGTCTCCTGCAGTAATTCACCGAGGGAAGTGAAAACCATAGTTTTTCTTCTTCTCCTCTTATAATATCTTCTGATTCACTTCGTTGCGGGAACCAAGACAGTTACTCATGTCCCTGGGACGCGCCGGACTTCAGTGTTCCGGTGTTTTCATGGTTGTATCTACTGTAGATCCTGGCTTACAGGAGTTGCAGCGGTTTTGGGAGGTTGTGGCGGGCTTGTCCCATTAAAAAAAAAAAAAA